TGTGGTGCCTTTAGCTCCTTAGCTCGCGGGTTCCGCGGAGAGGTTGGGGAAGTGGCGGCGCTGAGAAGGATGGGCAGGACGCTGTCCTCCGCAGGAACTGTATGAAAGGCTGGATCTATCTCCGAATAAATAACTCTGAGCATCCGGAAGTTACCTCGCAGAAGGCACCCCTTGGCTGACTTTAGGAATCGCAGCCTAAAACAAGACGAACTAAGAGAAGCTCATCAATTTTCTAACTAAAAGTGGAAAGGAAAACGTTCTCTATATATGTAAACACTAAAGATATGAGCGTACAGGTTTAGGTGTGTTCCTGGGAACTTCAGGAGCGGCTTTTCTCCCCCTGCCCACCCCCCGCCTTTGGTTTGCAAACTTAGATTCTCATCGCCTTTCATTGACTAGCTTCTGACCCTAGCCATAATCTGATTCAGAAATACTCTTCATTTCGTTTGGCTGACATTGACAGGCACTAGTTATGTTGTATCTGGTAAGGAATTTAAGTTCGAGCAAATTTTATCATAACGCTTTTCTAAAAAGTCCTTTAAAAGATTTTTTATATTCCATACAACAGAAATTAAAAATATATACATCGCTATGATTATAGAGAAACGTACTTAGATTACCTTTAGATTTCTGAGATTTTGTACAGGTACCAACTCTGCAGACATAATTAATGGGCTATTGGCAGTTGTTATTCATGAAAGGTCTTTTATATTTTTTAATTGAGGCATAGTTCCCAGGTGGAAAAATTCTTCACAATTAGAAACATGCTTTCAAAAAGATTAAAAAATAAAAAAACAAAAATTTAGAATGCGTTATAGTATAGAAGTCTTTACTGAAAACAACAGGTATCACTACAACCCCGAAGTGGAAGTCAAAATATAGTGAAAGTTAATTAAAATGCAAACTATTAGGGATGCACTGCAAAAGTCTTTGTCACACCCAAAGAAAAAAATCTTTAGACATCCTTAGACTATACTTGTATTGTGATACTTGAATTGTTGTCAACATGTTTCTCCTCTGAAATAACAACTGTTCACCTTTCAAACCCCTTCGGTACAGAGCAGCAATGATGATTGTTCTCCAGGCAAAGGACTTTCAACACAACTTCTTTCACACACGCTTGCACACTGCATACAAACGCACACATAGCTGCCAATTTTTAAAAAACATTGCTTCTTGAGAGAGAGAGAGAGAGAGAGAGAGAGAGAGAGAGAGAGAGAGAGAGAGAGAGAGAGACACTCGAGCTTAGGTAACCAACAAACCCAATTACTAGGCTTTATTGATACTAAAAGGAAAAGTTCCCCTCGTAAAATTTCTCTAAGCTTATTAGTTATTTAAATCAGCCCCAGGGCTGGACGAGCGACGCTGCAGGCACCCGCTGTCGGCTCCTGGAGGTGAGCAGACGGCTTCCGCGCCCTGACCCGCAGCCCCTTGCTCGGTCCTGGGTACTCGGGGCAGAGACAGGCGCAGCGAGCTAAGGTGAGCCACTTGGCAGGGGTGCCGGACTGGCACGCTTGGAAATAGGTCCACGTGGCCCATGGGTATTAGAATTTAGAAACGAACAGGTCGTAGCCAATGAACAAGGGTGTGGGTGAGCAGGACAGGCGGACGCGGAGCGCCGGAACTCAGCCGGCGGGTCGCGCTGTGGCCGGCCAGAAGCCTGGCAAGCCCGTCGTCCTGCAAGAGTTCGGTCGCAGGCCGCCCGGCAGGGGACCGCTCAGGCGTCCAGGGCTCTCTCCAGTTTTGCGTGGGGCTGGGAGCTTTGTAATTGGGAGGATACCAGGTGAATTTACACTTTTGGAGGTCGTTGTCCTTTTCAATAGCTGACAGTCACAAAATATGTGTGTGTGTACGCACGCGCGCGCGTTTAAACAGTTGCATTTATTTTAAAATAAGCTCCAATCTACCGACTGAAGTCCTTGAAGCCCGACGTGGTGGCTCTCGAGTCCTGATATAGCGCCGGGACACCGCAAGGTGATGCCTAGCTCAGCTGGTCTTGGCTGCAGGGCCCAGAGGCAAGGCGCCGCGGGGTGAGGAGGAACTGAGCCCCAGGACACTGCTGTCACAGCCACCTGGGCCAGAGCCCTGGGGTCAAGCCTTGACAGGACTGAGAGGGTGTGGTGGGGCTTCGTGGGACCAAGGGAACAGGCAAGTCGCCCGCCTAGGAAGCCTTCGAGGTTCTCCGCTACTCCGGAAGGGTTTGGACCGTGGAATAGACCGACTACGCGTTTCTTCCTCGGTCCCAGTAAGTGCCTGCGACCTTGGGTCCCGCAGCAGGCTTTCTGGCTCTCTCCGGCGCGGATCGAGACCAACGCGGGCCCAGAGCCGCAAAGCGCTCCCAGAAAGGCTGAGGCTTGGGCCGCCTCGGAAGCGGCTTTCTGGGTTCGCTCGCCCCAGCTAGGGTTGGGCGCGGATTTCGCCACGCAGGCTGGCCTGCCCAGAGTTTAGGGTGCGGATGGCCTGGACGTTCCAGGTGTACTTTTCATTACAAGGGGTTAGGGCAAACTGCGGGTGGCAATATTTTGCTTGCCCTGCGCGTTTTTGTGTTGGGTGGTCCGGCTGTGTCCCAGGCTGGGGACCTGCCCATCCCCCGCCGCATCTTTATCCCGCAGACTCCAGGCGACGCAGTAGGGCCGGTTCCGGGACGCTGCGGACTGAACAAGAGCCGCAGGTTTGGGCTGCAGCCCACGCGGTGGCGCTGTCGGGAGAGGACGCCTCAGCTCCGGTCTTGGACTCGGGCAGTGACCCGGGCTCGGAGGTGACGGGACCGTGACGAGTCGAGGCCGAGGGGTTCTTCGCTGCCACCTTGGGCCCGGGGACTGGAGATGGGACGGATCCCCTCTGCCTTGTTCTGTGTTTCCCAACAGAAAACGTACCGGGTCCAGAGCACGACTTTGTCTCCAACCCGGCCGCCCCAGGATGGGGACAGAGAGGCAGCAAGCGGCTCCTTTGGCGTTTCTTTTTCTTCCCTCCTTTGCCTCATTAACCCAGTCGTTTTAAGTCGATTTCTATTTTTAATAAACTAGACTAACAGAGCAGTTACTCTCTCGCTGCGCTGCTGCAGAAGGAGATATAGCTATTAAGGTCCTGACTCTGGAAAAAATGAAGGGATCCGAGAGCCCCGGGGGCGACGTCATGTGTCGCTGGAGTAGTGCTAGGAACCCACAGTCATACCACCTTCCCGAGCCTCCCAGCCTGCGGCCGCGCCAAAAGCACACCCACACTTTAGACCTCTAACAACTACACTAGCTTCGAAACATGACCCCTCCTTTTCCCACTGGTGCAGGCAGTGCCAACCCCCGACGCCCTCTCCCATTCCCTACATCTGGGACCCCGAAGCTCCTTGGCTGACCTTCGCGCGTCCCTTCCAGTCCTCTGGGCCTCTGTATTGTCTGTTCACCTGACCCTCGACCCTCTGGCCTCCTGGACGCTCGGCTCACCATCTAACGCTCACCACCACTCCTTCCCAATTAGTCGTCTCCCTGGGACTCATCTCTGTCCAGGCCGCAGGGCTCGTTCATTTGAGGATGAGAGCAGGACCTCCACCGCCCCTACCTTAGGCTACCCGAAAGCTTCCTCACCGCTCCGCCCCCGCCCAGGCCCCCTGAGCCTCTGCGGGAGCCCGGAGTAATTTATCTTTGCCTGGCGCGGGTTGGGATTTGTCCAGCTCTGATGCCAACGAGGAAGGCGTGCGGATTAACAAAGTAAGTGTCCCCCCGCCCCCTGCGCTCGGGTCAGTCCCCAGACGCCCCGGAGCAGTCTGGGAAAAGGCTCAAGCCCACCCTAGACGATCTGGCCTTCTAGGCGCGTTCTCCTCGGGGCATTCTGGCCCCGGGCTCTCGTCCCCTTGGCTCATCCGAGTGCCAATCCAGGCCCCGCGCAGTTAAGCGATCCGCGAAAATGTTGGTCGCTCAACTCTCTCCCGACAATCCGTGGCGGAAATTGGCTTCAGAACTGGTGTGGGCTTCATGTGAAAGAAACAATTCCTTTTTTTTGGGAGTGGGGTAGAGGCAGGGCAGTGTGGGTACCTAGGAACCGTCGGAGGCTTTTGACGCTGGCAGTCCCCACAGAGTTTCCCTCGTGCATGCGGCAGTGGAGGGAAATCGCAGCACAACTTTCCAGTGTTCTCTAAGAGGCAGAGTACCTCCGGGAGAGTCTCTTTGCATGATGATCGGACTTGAAATCTAGGGAACTTGGTGGTGGACGCTGGGCCTTCAGAGGCCCGGGTGGCCCAGCCGAGAGCAAGAGTCCCACGCCTGGCACCCTACGACCCGGGTAGTCGGGCCTATGTCGTCTAGCAAGGGCATTGGGGAAGGAAGGTTGGCCAGAGTGGACAGCTAGCACGGCAAAAGTCTCGGTGTCCAGACACAGAAATCAAGAAACGTTGTAATTAAAAGTGCAGGCCATAAAAGAATAGAAGGCTTGAAAAGAGTTAGAGAAAAGGGGAGAACATGGAAATAAGAAAAAACATGCATATTTAAGCCCAGTGTATAAAGATCCGTTGATTTTTAAAATAACAAATCTCAGCGTGATTATGAAAGACAGGCGAACTCTGACTAAATGACATATGAAAAAATTGGGGGTGGGGAGAAGGGAGGAAATTTCGTGTAGATTCCCGACAAAAAACGTCAGTGAGAAGCAAGCTGAGAGATAAAAATGTCCCCATTGTGAACTTTATGCTTTGAATACTGCAGCAAACTATCACATAATGCACAGAAATGCGTTTTGGGTTGTTATTATTTTAAAAGGTAACTAAAACCAGTTATTTTCTTGAGTATGATTTTGTTTCAAAAATATTTGGAAATAAACTACTTGGGGAATACGAAACGAAACCAAACAAAACTTTTGATTCATAATTTATTTACTGTTTAAAAAAGTAGAAAATTCTAGTGAAAGGTAAAATCTTATTTAAAATTTCTTGTTGTCAAAATTAAACATGCTAGAAATAATCACTTCGGTTGAAATAAGGTCAATACAAAAATTGTGCAGTGAAAAGCTTATGCAGTTGGAAACAGAAAAGGCCTTTATTAGGGACAAAATTCAAGAGAAAAAAACACACTAGGTATACATCACAAAACTTCTTAGAGTTCTTTTTTAAATCGAAATAAATTTGTAAAATGTGTTACTAAACATAAATCTACAAATATTCGAAATACACTTCTGACAATAATTCATAATGTTCCACATTTCTCTCTGTGCTAAATGCAATTTTAAATATTTTGAGCTCTTTTGCCCAAAATGATAGATTTTTTTTCACTGTCAAAAACGGACAAGAGGAAACTGTGATAAGAGAAAATCCCTAAATTTAAATGGGTGCAGAATCTGAAAACATACTAGCCACAATGTACATTTAATTGTACTTAATTGTATACTTTATTTAAATCGCCTCTCTCAGAGGTTTAATAATTTAGAATCAATAGTTCCCTTCGAAACATAATAAAATATTTACACTTTATAAAATATTAACCGATTAACAATACGGCTATGTTGTTTATAAGAGTGTGACTTAAGTTCCATAATCATGCTGTTGACATAAGCCTGTGAGGTTAGCGAAGTGATCCTTTGCAAAATGTAAATGATCTTCAAACAACGATGTTTATAAAATAGCTCATTAATGACTTAAGATTGAATCGCTCCAACCATTCGCATCATCAGATATAATAATAGTGACGAATCAGACAGGAAAGATCCTGGCTAAACCATTTGCATTTTTTTTTCCAGAAGTACTGAAGTCCTAATATCACCAATTCTTCTAAGTTTCTGGACATTGATTCGGAGGAGGATTCTGCAGTTCGATACCGAGGTAAGGAAACAAACAGCATTGTTATCGTTGTTGAGATATATTAATAAGAAATGCGCCTTTCCCCATTTTGAAAACGGGCTCAAACTTTGACATGGCACTTGGTTTTTGCAACATCCCCTTCCCATTCCAACGTGATATTACTTATAAAGAAAAAAGTTTGTCGATCAAACTTACAGTTTGTTTCTTTGCAGCCAAAAAACCCTTTTAGCTACCACCACGAGTTGATTTACTCGAGCCACTTTTTTCTCACAGACTTGAATTGTGCATTTTCTGTAACCCGTTCGTTTGGGAGGTGGGGAGGATGGGGTTTGGGAAATAAAAAGTAGGGAAAAGAAAACGCTGCCTAAAACTCTTAGGGTGGCTCCTTGAAGGTTTACTGTCCAGCTGGCTTTCTCTCTCGGCTGGGATCCGATCGCCTCCGGAGTCTTCTCCCGCTCCTTCGGAACTTGGTGGGCGGTGCCTGGGTGCGGGGTTCTCCGAGATCTGGGCAATGAGACTTAGGCCAGGGGCAGGTTTCGCTTCTAGGACCCTTTCTCTTCCAGAGGGTCCCCCGCCTCCCAGGCCCCTACTTTTCAGGGTTTGGCCGCGCGCATACCGCCCATCGGGTGGGTGCGGCGAGTGGATCTCGGCCAGGCCCGGGGCATTCTAGGCTGAGGTGACTTCCCACAGTCGGTGCACGGGATCCGAATTTCCAGAATTGCCCCCTGAGAGCGTTTCCCGAAACCGAATTTAGTTTGGCCCTCTGGCGCCGCCGTACAGTCAACGCTTCTTAAGGGGGAACGGCGGCTCAGACAGCGAGTTGTGGGGAGTCCTTGGGGTCCAAGGGATAAGGAAGGAGAGCCGAGGGGTGCGAGAAGGAAGGAGGTGCCGCCAACCCAGGAGGCTACACCGGGCTCGAGGCGAGCTGGGACGCGTCCGCATTTTCCCGCCCCAGGTCGGGACCGCGCGTGTCAGCCGGCGCCCTCAGCGTCTCGCGGGGGCCGCGGCCCCTGTCCACGTGCTTTTCCTTAAGGAGGTCCCGCGTCTCTGCTAGACCGCGGGGACAAAAGCGCGGCAGGAGCCTGGCCTGCTCGGCAAGTGCCCGCGCCACCTTAAGTGAACACCGCGGCCGGAGCCTGGTTGCGGATGGCTCGGGCCGCGGGAGTCGGCAAAAGTTTGCGGCTCAGTTACGCCTTCGCGGGACCGGCTGGAGACGCCCCCGCGTGGCCTCCCCGGGGACCGAGAGGCCGGGTCCTCACGGCGCAGCACGGCTCGCGCTCGCAGCCCCGGGTTCGAGCCGCTGGGGGTCCCAGGAGCCCCAGCCCCGCAGCCGAGGACAGGCAGTCCCACCGCCCTCGCCGCCGCGTCCTCACGGCCTCCGGGCGCCCCGGGC